TCACGAGCTTTCGTGGTGTTCTGCAAAAGATTTATTTGCAGAACACCAAGCGCTAAGAAAAATGTTCTAATTAAATCAATATAAAGGCTCAGCAAGAATGGTATTTTTTAAATTTAATCAGAACATTTTTCTCAGTGCGACATTACAAAAAAATATGTGGTGAATAATAGGCCGAGTGAATATTTATAGTCGATTCTTTCTTTCAAGACTGTTTTAAATAGAATATCTTAAGATATGGATCCGTGATTCATTTATGACATCTTAAGACTGTGCTTAAGAAATTCTTCTTACTAAACCTTACTTAAATGTAATATCGATTATGAATATCAGCCGTACTCCTGTACATTTGAAGAATTATTCGCGAATGCTTTCAGTCGAAGTATATAGATAAAAGTAAAATTATGCCACAACTTCCTGATCGATTAATTACACACTGAGAAAAATTTCTGATTTGAAGTGGACGAATTAGAAAATTCTGATCGTATCAATTAGAATTTTGGTTATATCTCAAGTAGAATTCTATATAATAGATTCAACAAATTTTGATTTATCTATTTTTAATCAGAATTTCAATTAATGCAGACTTTTTTTCAATGCAGTTTATTCGCAATGTTTGACGTTCAATTTTCGAGGAGTCCCCGTTCGTTAGCGTCGTTGCACTCATCTCTGCAGAAACTATGTCTCGTGTCGTGCATTTACATTCTCGAGCATATTAGAAATGGCATAGGGTAAAAGCACGCAATGCTCCCACGTCGGGAAAGAGAGACCGCGGTTCGTTGACCTGCGACCACGTGGAGTAGCACGTGCATTCGCGAGAGATTTCGCGCGCAGCGAACGATCGTTAAGTGACTATCGCCTGGCTTGGCTCGCGCGTTGGGAGCAAAGAACTGCTAATGCGACCGACGATCGTTAGAAATTTTTCACGTTTCTTGCGCCACCAGGCATTCGCCTGGCCTAATCGCGCTCGTTAGACAAGTCACGTGCTGCATACACCACGCTGAATTCACCCTGTATAATGACTCCGACGATAGTACGACAATGATGACGTGATGCGTAGTATCCTTGAGCCACCAATACGTTCGTTTGCCTGCGTTGTTACCTGTGTGAATATCTCGATCTCTGCTCTCTCGTGATTCTTTCGTGGTTCGATTTTGCAGCATTCGACAGAAAATAGATCTATAATATTGATGCAGGTATGATGAATTTCAGTAATCATTGAAAATATGAAATATTTATTAATAGAGGAATCTTTAAATATTTTGAAATTTGAAATTAAACTTCTCTTCTTAATAAGAAATCTTAAATAAGAAATAAATACGTTATCTATTATACATATAAAGGAGATAAAATTTGAATATTGTTTATTTTTTTTTATCTTTCATTACGATTGATGAAATTTTATTCGGCAAGCTACAAAATTGAAAAGAAAAATAAATGATTCTTGAAGAAATAAGTTATTTTAATACATTTTTTAATAAAATATATTACTTATTACGTGTAATTGAGAATATATGAGAAAAGATATTTTCCTTTTAAATATACAAGAAATTCGACAGCTGAATGCAGACACATCGAATATCATCAAGAAGATACTCGCTTAAAAGAATCGAAAAAATGCGGTACTCAAAGAATTTTTTTGTGTATAGAAGACACACATTTTTTATTTTAAGGATTTTTGTACGTTTTATTTTTACCAAATTATAAATTAGGACGTCTTCAAAATCAATATCCAAAAAGACTACATGCTCATAAAGCAAGTAAAATTCGATGCACCTCGCGATAGTTGTGTTAGAAAAAAGTCTGATTATATTAATTGAAATTCTAATTGAAATTCTAATTGAAAATCAGAATTTTTTGGACAAATTAGTATTTTCTGTTTGATCTATTATAATTTTAGTTGAAACAATTAAAATTTTGATATGATCTAATTAAGATAACCAGAATTAATAAAATCAGAATCTTTTAGTTTCGTCTTCCAAATAGGCGTCACACAACGCCTTATACAAAGCGTTAACAAAGCGCTAAATAAGCATGTAGACCCTGCTGTGCTATTTGACTATTTTTTTTGAAATTTTTCTCAGGTATACCACTCATACATATTCTTCATCATTTCACTTTTCTATAAAAGATTTTCTGTAAAAGGTTGTAGAAAATAATTTTCTGCATAAGGCAAACCTAGGATAAGAAAACATCGGAAATAGAATAGATATACCACAATAGATATGTCCAAAGAGAATGACATGGAGAAAAAAGTTGAAAAGAAATCGAGAATTGATAATTATACAAAGCGAATTTCCCATAATGACCATGAAAGAGTCATTCTGTTCTTGCGGTTTCAAAAGTCCGGTTAGAATTTGGGCTACAGAGGATCTCGAATCTGGAACGCTTCGGTCATTGGCCTTGTCTTCATTCCCATACCTGCGAGATTTTCGGATACGACTCTGTATACACGACATTTTGTATGTCCGCACGTTAAAACGGAGCTTTTATCTAATAAACGTCTAAACCGGTTCGCGAGTCGATCCTGCAGACGTTCGCGAATCACGTGACAATTTTGTCTAAAGACAGGGTCTCAGACCCGTAGAATGTGTGTGGAAAGAAAAGATGCCAAAATGGTGTTCGCTTTAGAAATGTATGAGCTCAAATACATTGAAAAAATGTACTAAATAATGTATTTATTTAAATAATATTAAACTAAATATTTACTAAAAATAAAAATATTTATATATATTATATATATATATATAAATATTCTAAAAAATATTTATTAAAATTTCTTATACTGCTTTTTCTCAATATTTCATTTGAAATTTTCGATTAACTGTAGTTAACTTTTTGTAGGTGTTTAGCATCATTTCTTATTTATTTTCCTAAGTGAAGATAAAATCTACATAAATTTTGCTAGAAGATCGTAATCAATAAATCTGTCAATGTGTATACAAATTATATTAAATAATAATGAAATGCTGAAAAAATTTTAGAGTTGATGTCAAAATTAGAAATAAGAGGTTTAATACATAAGAGGTTTAATACATAAATATCTTTACCTTGTATTCAGTATTCAGCGAGCTTTGTTTCTAATTCTAAATCATACTTATCTAACTTGAAAATAGTATTCAACATAAAATATTTAACATATTGTTAAATAAAAATCAGATAAATTTCTTGAATTAAATGTACAGCATGTAGTATAAATATATACTATAATAAATATTATTATAGTTCGAAAATTGATAAAAGTGATAAAGAAAATTGATGTTATTTTTTTTCGACAGTACCCTTCTTCAAACATAAACAAAGTAATTTTTCAAGTTAATGCTAACGATTATTGATATGAAACAAAACTATTTACAGACATCATACAAATTTACATTTTATTCGAATATTTATTTTTCCACAATTATCTACAAATGAAATGATTAGCGCTACTTTGAGTATTGTCTCTCTTTATGTTAGAATAATGTTGTAATTCCCGTATTCTGTATTTCTAATTCATAATATACTAGCTGTTATTAGAAATGTACACCTGTATGTGTATCATTATTATTACTAATTTTTGCCGTTTTCACCATTAACGCGTGCGACACAAAGTCGCTATCGTTAATTTCGTGCTGTTATAATTGCACGCCTTTTTTTCTCGCCTCGAATGTGCTCGGGCCCAAGTGAAGACGGAGACTGCAGACGGGCCTCGGACACACGGTGGAGACAGAGGTGTCCGGAGGGAAAGGCATGGAATGATTCGGAGATAATATACCGATGTACTGAATTACGCGGCTGGCTACCGAATCATTTTGACCCACATCCATAGATCGTCGCCTTGGGGCCGGAGATTCGATCAGGCGTCTTCTTCTCGACATTACTTTGTAGAATCTACAGTGCTGTTCGTTTGCAGAACGGTAATAAATCTGCCAAGCGAGTTAAAGAACAAAAATTTATGTCATATTTTTCATAACTAATCGAAAACGAAAACATTCTATATTTGTATTTTATGACAGATGCATTATGTAAAAAGCAAAGAATAAAGAATAACTGAAAATTTTTTGATGCAAAACACAACTGAAAATATCTACTTTTCTACATATCTATAAGAATTTATAACACACTCTTGCAGATATTTCTTTTGTCATAAATTATTCTAAAAGAAAGATAATTTATTAATAGTTCTATCTAGTATTTATCAGCTTATTACAGGATACTACACATTGCTTATGATATGTATTTATTAAATCAACATACGGTAATGTTTTCTCTTGAAATATTAAGCTATCAAATTCTTGAATATATTTAACATTTTTAACTATAAATTAAATATGTATTTAATTATGTCTATGAAATTTGATCATTAATAAGAGATTGAAAAATCATGTTAATCAAACTTCTTGGAAATAAAATTTTATCTTCTAATTTATTTTTTTTTTAATTTTTGAAGTCAAAGTTTAATCATTAAATTATATAATTAAAGAATATGTAAATAAAAGTTAAAACATATATTACATATATATATATATACACGAAAACATATTTTAAATTTCTTCTGTATATATCGAAATAATTGGTGGTAAGACTTAATTTGTATTTGCTTTGTGTATCTAAGTAGCTTCCTTCCTTTATGTAAATATATTGTCTCAATGTATACCATAATAACGTGTGATAATTCTACCGGAGCTTGCCATGAGACCTATTTTCTGACGCTATTAGGTCGCAACAGTCAGTGGGAAGATAAGCTGCGTAATTTATATTCAGACTATGTCTGCGATTATAATTTGTATTTTCGACCTAAATAGTTCTCAAAGTAACAAGTAACACAAAATATGACGATGATTATTAATGTCGCTGATTAAACATCAAAACTAACACTAGGTAATATAATAATAAAGAAATCAAATTAAAGAAAAGCCGAGAAAAAACATCTGCATCCATAGTTGCACGCCTTTTACTTCACAAATCCCCCGAGATAAACTTTATATTTGCATATCTTGTGTTTAAAAAATTCCGCTAGTATGAGCGTGGTGGATAAGAATTTCGTATATAAACAAAGAAACGGTACGTTGCTGTGTCAGACTTTCAGTATTCTAGTTCAAAACAAAGGCAAATAATGGCCCCAACGCGAATAATTTTATTGTTCGCAGTAGCCAGCGTCAGTTCGGAACTGCCAGTCAAAAGCCATCGTGGATCCCATGGCCATTCTATACCGCCCGAACCACGATTCAATGGAGTTTTCAATCATGATCACAATCATGAGGAAATTGGTAATTAAATTTCTAACAATTTTGACAGATTCGCAGCTATTCAAGATTTGAAATGAAAATTGATTTTACTCGAGATTGTTTTATTCGTAATAAGTACAATGATTGAAATTTATATTTTTTCTCTTCCAGCTGATAACATAAAATCTTGGAATCCCAATAATCTACAAAATGTTTGGGAATTGAGCGGTTTATATGAAGGTGATATAATGATTCATCCAGATAGTTCAATGGATAGTCCGTGGAAAAATGGTCTTTTAAACGCTACAGCACGATGGCCCGGCGGTGTCGTGCCCTATTTTATACAAGAAGATGATTTTGGTAATTCATCTTTCTTTGTATAATCACGATAACAAAATAGTATTGCTTTAAATATTTCTAATTAATTAGATATAATCCATTACATTTAGATTTAACGAGTGACTTTGCTAATTAATTTTTATCTTAGATTATTTGCATCATTATATCTTTCCAAAAGTAGAATTAGAAAGAGTGAAAGAAACTCGTTTAAATTCAGGTCAATGTTAAACTACGTTATTTGTGTTGCATGTGCGAATCATTAGTGATTTATATACTCTTAAAAATTCAGTTTTGATTTAGAAGATTCAATTGCTTCTAAGAATCATTAACATTTATAGATCGTGATCAAATCGAATTGATAAAAGAAGCTATGCAGGAGTACCATAAAAGAACTTGCTTGCGTTTTCGACCTTACAAAGATACTGATGACGATTACGTGACGATACAAGCGAAAAATTCAGGGTGCTGGTCTCTGGTGGGTCGTCACGGTCACGGACAAGTATTGAATCTACAGAATCCAGGATGCATTCATCATGGTGTTGTCGTGCATGAGCTCATGCATGCCTTAGGCTTTTATCATCAGCAAAGCGCCGCGAACCGAGACGAGTGGGTCATTATACATTGGGAGAACATCAAATTGGGTACGCACAATTAATAATGTTGACAATGTGTTTGTGCTGTAATCAATTTATACTGATTTCTTATTTTTTCAATTATAAGATCGTATATTTCATAATAACTGCGATAATTTTTCATGTTTAAAACAACATGGAACTTTAAACACTATTTATTATTGAATACACTATTATTGAATAACACTTGAATACTTTATATCCGAGTCAAAACGGTGTCAACTGATTGTGAGACATTCTTAGGATGGATTGTATAACGCATAACTCTTGTATAACGCATGAATAATAAAATTTTAATGAACTTTTACAGGTAAGGAGCATAACTTCAATAAATATGACAATCGCACTGTCACCGATTATGGTATTGACTATGATTACAAGAGTGTCATGCACTACAGCTCCCACGCGTTCTCCAAGAATGGAGAACCTACTATTACACCGAAGGTAATAATCGTGCGGCACTCGTAATATTCCTATTGATTTCGGTTTACTCTCAACGTTTATGTTTATGCTTTTTCGTAGAAAGAGAAGGTGCAACTTGGTCAGCGAGACGGACTCAGTGAAAAGGACGTGGCCAAGGTGCAAGCAATGTATAAAGAACAATGTGACGATCGAAATCGTAGCCATTCTTCTGAATCTTTTGAAGAGATTTTTATAGAATGGCTATTCGATTAAATTCATATATTTTTAAATAATCGGATTGTAGTATAATAAAGCATGGATATATTAGCATACACACACACACACACGCGCGCGCGCGCGCGTAGATATATAAAATACATTTTCATATTTTTAGATTAAAATACATTTATTTTATTAATGAATATATAAAAATATCACATATACTTTATTTCTTAAGTACAATTAAATATAATTATCAGTCTGTTCAAAAATAAAATATTTAATTTTGCGGCATTATAAAATTTATCAAGCAACAATAGCATTGAAAATTGGTCCCTAACAATCTACTTATATTCCATCCTAAGGCACTAAACCGACAAGTTTTTTTTTAATTGTAATACGTTAATTGTTTCAATTCATTTACAGCTTCCTCCGCTGCCTAAATTAATATTTATTACGCATTATACAAAATATTGCGTAAAAATATGTACTGCATTTATGATTAACTTACGTGACGGACGTGTTCATCTTCATCCTCGATTAAACCTTCCATGGCATCTCTTAATGACTTATTCCAGGTCTGTTGTAATGCTCTACAGCAAAATCTACCCAACAATCTGATCATAGTACATGTCCTTGCTCGTAAAACAGTTTGTCGATGATTGAGAAGCTTGTTGAGCTGCTCCACCGAAGCTCCTTCAAAAAACTTCATGTAAATTCGTAATAAAAATTATGACGTAACCTAGAAAATAATTTACAATTGACTCACCAGGTGTTTTTGTACGCAGCACAACTTGTTCCACAAGCTCGGCATTTTCAGGTTGAGATCGTAGAACGTTATTTAAAATAGCAACAAGATCTGCAACGACTCTTGCTTTTCTTTTTTCTAAAGTTAGTAGTTGCTGTAAAAGTGGCATTCCACTCACGATGTAAATAGCGTCGCAAAATTGCATAAGAAATTGATTCTCGATATAAACCAATCTACAAAGAACTAGTATCGCACATTCAAGTGCTTGAAGTTCATCGGCAGATAAAGAAGATGCTGATCTCGTTCCCATGTTCACTGTATTTGTCGCATTCAATTCGTTATCGGAACGTTCCGACATTAATAGTTTTATGGCATAAACGAGATTTGGTACTACTCTCACGTCTAAATAAACTTGTTCAATCTTCTTGAGATTCTCTTTACTGACTGACACGGTAAACGGCAATGATAATAAACAAGTTACATATTCGACAACTCTACAACCAGCTGCTGGATTTCTTAAAGGAGAAACAAACACCGAGACGCAATTTTGTTGCAATAATGAGTCAATCTCACCCTCCATAACTTCTTCCATTGATCTTTCTAAAAATGCAATCCATTCTTCGTTTTCAATTGGTCTTTCTACTGCCCTTGGGTCCCAATCTGGCAATCTCGTGTGTTTTTCAGTCAATTTTCTCTCACCAAATTCCTGTTCATAATCAATGCTCAAGCAGCTTTTGCAATCACCATCGCCATGCACAATTTGATCTATGTGTGAAGATTTTTCGATTTGTTGACCTACATTGATTCCATCACCTTGAGCATTGGTGTGATACATTTCCTTATTCAAGTGTCGTACAGTATGACTATAATCCATTTGTGTTTGAACAGGTTTCGAGTAATCATTTTGTATTGAAAAATTGTGCTGCATGTCTACGTTATGTGAATAATCACTCTCACACAGAGCGTGATCTGCAGCTAAAAGATCACTTCTCAGAGACGCCCTAAGACTGAGATTTCCTAAGAGTACATCGATACTAGCGCTGGAATCACTGCCACTTGGTTCACTGCGACGTAATGCTTGACAGTGATTTATCATATGATGACAAGCAGGAGGCATCAGATAACCCGGTTGTGAAATACATGTTCGTTGCCGATACTCATAATGTCTTCTCTCTTGCTCTTGTAATTTTTTCATTGCTTTCTTCACAACTCTACATAAAAAATTTTAGTTGTCTGTGAATATACATATACCTTACATTAAGGTGATATTCTATTGTAAGGATCAAAAAAAATCGAAGAATTTTTTGCATTTTTCGTAAGTATATATAATATTATGGAAAATGTGTGCAAAAGGATTTACTCTAATCCACAAAACTTACAGAATTATAGCGGCTGGAAGGGATAGATTTACGAGCGGAAAAGACTACAATAGTTTCAGCAGGTATTTCGACAAAGAACCGTTATTTTAGGAAGAATAGGGTCTTTTAAAATATAAAGGATCGACTATGACCTTAAAATATTTAGGAGCAGAATAATAATAAATCTTTAAATTCATCAATCTGGATTTTTGTTCCAAAGCACATTCATTCAGAACCAAAAATTGTAGAAATTGCCACTTTCTTAGTAGTAATAATATTTAATGAAGGCCTTTTGCTACTCTCCTAAAAATAATGAGTGTTATGGAAGCAATTATTGAACAGCAAGCGAGATAGGTCCACTCACAAAATAATATTCATGATATTCGTATCAGTCGTTCGGAACGACGCTCGAATGAGTTTGCTAAGCAAGCAAAAATCGTCGGAAGGAAACAATAGCTCATCGGGACATATTTGAACAAGAGGAAGGTCCCATCTATGGTCCTGGATTAGCTGATTAATAGTAATAGATTTTTATTAAGAATAAAATTTTCTGTGTGTAAACTGCATGCAAAACTTTGGACGCGTTTTTCTCGATATTGTATTTTTCGAACTGGCTTCCATGATATCTCAAAATCGATTTGATCAAGTGAACCCAACTTGCATGAACATTTTCAGCACATGTGTGGCTATCGTCCCTACCATGATTACATTAAAATATTGTTTTTTTCTTTTATTTTTAGAATCTTTCAAACGTAAAAAATTTGCAAAAATCGAAACTTAATTTTCAAAGTGATATAGGTTTTTTAGTTTTCGATATTTTTCTTTTATTCTGGTACCTACTACAGATAAAAAATATACTAATTAAGAATCATTTTGAATTTTTTGTTTCAGTCAAGCAGAACTGGTCCAATCATGGATGCCATGAGCAAAGGTTTTTTTTCATCGATTACTTCAAAGCAGTCCACTGATGATAATTTTCACTTTTTTTTTACATAAAAATTCTTACATATTATTTAAATGTTAATAAATGTATAGGAAAAAAACCTGATATCAATAATTTTTATTCTTAATAAAAAATTCCCTAAAAAATGCAAAAATAATACCTGTTACAGTAGAATACGCCCCTTTAAAAGAATAATTAAAATTAACATTATACTTGGATTGATTTGCAGCACGCATCGCTAAATTTTGTAATTGTTGCTGCTTTGCTCTTGCTTGACTTGCAGATAGCGGATTTGTAAATGGAGTAGGTACGGTGCCATCTACTATTACAATTCGATCCTTAACAAACAGATGTTGAAGAAGAGCGGGCCAAGTTAATCGTTGAGAAGGATCTTTCTGAAGTAAACCCTGAAATTGAAATTGTAATGACTTGTTTGAAATTATGATAACTATTATATTGTATAATACTCATGAATGACATAATGTCTTTTCGCAAATCAATAAACATCTCTATGTGCGATAAACGTATTGATAAATGTATATGTAATAGTGTTAGGCTGCCTTCCCATGGAGAAAGAAACCACAGAACAAAATATTGACAGAAAAGAGATAGGATGAGGATGATTCTGTTTCGTTGTTTCTTTCTCCATGGAAAGGCAGCCTTAAAGGGATCCTAAATCGATTACCGAACTTGATCGAGGTCGAAAGTGCAGACTTTTTTAATTCTAAATTCGATAATGACATCTTTGATTCATTTCTTATATTATATTATATATCGTTCTGTCCCATTCAAACACATACGTCTGTCCTTATCTAACATATGTCAGTACCATCTATCGCAAGATCTCTAGTGCAACTACTACATCACGGAATTTCGGCTTTGTTGACATTCCTAGTCTTCACAAAGCCATATACACGTATTTTCCATTCGGTGAAAATACTTTTCTTCTAGACTTTCAATCTTAGACTTTCATTCTACAAACTCGGTATCGTTCATTCCAGTAATTTGACCTCAGCTGCACGCTTATTTTCAAGATATAGACTATAAAACTCTCTTATATCAAGCAAATATATACCTAAGGTGACAGCTGTACAAGTCAAAAAAGTGAATTTTTTTAACTTCTTTTCGATTTTCTCATGAAATCTAGTGCAGCTGAGGTCCTGCTTGTGCGTACTTTAATTCTGTAATAATAATTTTACAATCCATTAATCCAATTCGAACATTTTTCACCGAATGGAAATGATGGTAAAGTAAGAGGACTTTAGCATCCCCTAAATATATAGAACAAATATCACAATAAACTTATTTTTACCTGTAAGAAGCTTTTGCAAATTGGAGAAATGAAGTCTGGCCACTTTATTTCTTCAAACCTAATCAACTTAATCAGATGCAAAATCGAATAAGTTTGAAATGGAGGAGAACCTACCACCAATTCATAAACTATACAACCTAAAGACCTGAAAGCAATTAATTATAAGATATACTTCCTACATAAATCATAAATATATATTTAAAATATTTATGTGGCTTTATATACACTTACCATAAATCAGCATTATGATCATAAGGGTACTCTTCTACAAGTTCTGGAGCCATGTACAATGGTGTACCTTTGATTGAAGTCAATACATGAGTACCAGTACTCATACTACGAGCAAATCCAAAGTCGCATAGTTTAGTTATACCATTTGCTTCCAGGAGAACATTTTGTGGTTTCAGATCCCTAGTAATATTAACACAATTATTATAATTAAATATTATAAGCCATTCTTTGTCTATAATTAGATACAAACCTGTGCATTACCCGATTTGAATGTAAATAATAAAGCGCCGATACTAAATCACAAGCTATTACTTGTGCTCTTTCCTCAGATAATCTAATTTCCTTGGCCAGTATGTCATTCAATACCTTATCTACATATTCTGTTACAACCACGATCTAAATCAGATATTTTACAGAATCTCTAAAATATATTTTACTTATAAACATAATTCTTTTCAGATTCGACATACTTCATTTTCTGTTTCAAATGAATCTAGCATTTGCACGATATTTGGATGTTGTAG